GGGCTGCGAGCTGCAAACCGTCTCCAGAACTGTCAGGTATCACTTACAGCGAGCAGCCAAAACATGTCAGAGTAAAATATGGCTCTAATAAACTTGTCGGCCTAAAAGAAATATAAAAAAATATAACCGTAGTACCTGATTTCGCTGCAAGATTGATCACAGTTGAATCGAAATCACAATTTGAACGAGACGAAATGAGCGAATCAAGGCTGCAATTTGGATTTGTTTTCTATAATTTCCTCCACATGTGACTGATACGATCTGATACGAAACTAGTTTTAGCTTCCTTTTTAAAGCTGCACTACGTAACTTTTTTTGGTTGAGGGTCCGTCACCTGCTTGTTTCTATGGAGATGTCTGGAATGTTCCACAGTGTGACATTAAACAGCTCCTCTTTACATTTATTCAGTCGCCTACAGATTACAGGTTACACACCCCAAAATGTAGTTTGTAACGTAATCCATTAAATTACTTAAAGTGAGTAATGTAATCTGAATACTTTGGATTACTTGATTTGCTGTAGAGAAGCAAAGACGTCGTAACATAAGACGCTGTGTCTGCTAAAATGAAAATAAAAAGCCCAGACTTTGATTAACCAAATTAAAAATATTATTAATAGAAGAAGAGACACGTCAGCGCAGCATGATTTAGTTAAATCCTGTTTGAGTCCTGATTTAGTCCTGGTTTAGTCCTGGTTTAGTCCTGGTTTAGATCTAGTTTAGACCTGGTTTTAGTCCTGGTTTAGATCTAGTTTAGATCTAGTTTAGACCTGGTTTTAGTCCTGGTTTAGATCTAGTTTAGATCTAGTTTAGACCTGGTTTTAGTCCTGGTTTAGTTCTAGTTTAGATCTAGTTTAGACCTGGTTTTAGTCCTGGTTTAGATCTAGTTTAGACCTGGTTTTAGTCCTGGTTTAGATCTAGTTTAGATCTAGTTTAGACCTGGTTTTAGTCCTGGTTTAGATCTAGTTTAAATCTAGTTTAGACCTGGTTTTAGTCCTGGTTTAGATCTAGTTTAAATCTAGTTTAGACCTGGTTTTAGTCCTGGTTTAGGCCTGGTTTAAATCTAGTTTAGACCTGGTTTTAGTCCTGGTTTAGGCCTGGTTTAAATCTAGTTTAGACCTGGTTTTAGTCCTGGTTTAGGCCTGGTTTAAATCTAGTTTAGACCTGGTTTTAGTCCTGGTTTAGTTCTAGTTTAGATCTAGTTTAGACCTGGTTTTAGTCCTGGTTTAGGCCTGGTTTAAATCTAGTTTAGACCTGGTTTTAGTCCTGGTTTAGCCTGGTTTAGATCTAGTTTAGACCTGGTTTTAGTCCTGGTTTAGACCTGGTTTAGACCTGGTTTTAGTCCTGGTTTAGTCCTGGTTTAGACCTGGTTTAGACCTGGTTTTAGTCCTGGTTTAGACCTGGTTTAGATCTAGTTTAGACCTGGTTTTAGTCCTGGTTTAAATCTAGTTTAGACCTGGTTTTAGTCCTGGTTTAGACCTGGTTTAGATCTAGTTTAGACCTGGTTTTAGTCCTGGTTTAGACCTGGTTTAAATCTAGTTTAGACCTGGTTTTAGTCCTGGTTTAGGCCTGGTTTAAATCTAGTTTAGACCTGGTTTTAGTCCTGGTTTAGACCTGGTTTAGACCTGGTTTTAGTCCTGGTTTAGACCTGGTTTAAATCTAGTTTAGACCTGGTTTTAGTCCTGGTTTAGACCTGGTTTAGACCTGGTTTTAGTCCTGGTTTAGACCTGGTTTAAATCTAGTTTAGACCTGGTTTTAGTCCTGGTTTAGGCCTGGTTTAAATCTAGTTTAGACCTGGTTTTAGTCCTGGTTTAGGCCTGGTTTAAATCTAGTTTAGACCTGGTTTTAGTCCTGGTTTAGGCCTGGTTTAGACCTGGTTTAAATCTAGTTTAGACCTGGTTTTAGACCTGGTTTAGACCTGGTTTAACATACTACTGATGTATAATACTTCTAAATCTATTATGCAGCTACTTACATGGTATAACTTTAAAGCTGCACTGTGTAACTTTTCTATTGGAGAGTCCATTAAATTTTCACTTTTCTCCATGGACATGTTATTGCTTCGTCTGAAATGTTTCACAGTGTGGCATTAAACATTTCTATCTTCATGGAGACCAAACCGGACCAAGTTACAGGTCAGATCTGTGGAGAGGCGACGCCGCTCACAGTCAGAATGTCTGTTTTTCTTGGTATTTTTCAGCTTTAAACCCACCTGTAATTGAATAAATGTAGAGTAGAGCTGTTTAATGTCATACCGTGGAACATTCCAGGCAGAGCAATGACGTATCCATGGAAACAAGCAGGTGACAGAACCCTCCAACCAGAAAAGTTACACAATGCACCTTGAAACTGAATATCTGAACCTGTATTTCACACTAACTCCTATTGTTTTGGCAAATATTTTAACGGTGAACTATGGAGCTTTTCTGTGGTTTGAGTGCAACCTGCTTCTCGTCTCCGTGGAGATTACTTCACCAGGAATGTTCCGCAATATAGCATTAAACACGGAGACAGCTCGCGTTGCTCACAGGCTCCTGAAAATGTGTTAAAGGTTGTATGGAGGATTTTTTTTTTAGTTTCAAATCATCAATGAAAGTTTAAAATACCATTACAGAGACGCAGCAGCCTTGTAATTACAATGACCAAAAAAAAAAAAAGAATGAAAATCTATCAACTGTGGACGTAGTGAGGCCAGATAAACATCAGCCAATAGAAAACAAGGCTACCTCATTTTCTATTGGCTGTTAAGTTGTCAATCAAACTCCCTACGTTTTTAGTGTAACTGACTCACCGGCGCGCGGGGATTACGTGGTTTTTGCAGCGGTTCTTAGAGGCTTTTTTAAACTGTAGCTTCCTCACATTTCGCACAAAGTTGGTTGAGATGTCGGACGAGAATCGACGACCGGTTCGCCGCAAAAGAAAGTCCGTTTTTGAGGTCGCTGAAAGAAGAAGAGAAGAAGGGGAAAAGGAGCAAAGGTGGTGATTCTTGGAGATCTCTTCCAGCGATTGCGCGAACGAAGCAGACGAAGGGTTTAAAAACTGACGTGTTGGTTGCTAAATTATTTCTAGACAGGTCACTGCATGCACAACATCTGAAAAAGGACTGTCACTGTATTTCTTTCCTTAAAAAAAATCCTCTATACCACCTTTAAATCTTAGTCTAAATCCATTTTGTATTATTTTTTTTGCAATGACGCATCCGTAGAAACAAGAAGGTGAAGGGCCCTCCGCCGTAAAAGTTACACAATGCACCTTTAACATAAGCATAAATTAACTGTATTCTGTTATAATGGCATGTGAAAAGGTTTAGTGGAAGAGTTCAAAGCGTCTGCCCACTCGTGTCTGTGCAGTTACCCTCTCCCTGACCCCTCCTACACCAACTACTTGTACACGTATTCGCCTCCGTTAAAGTATCTGCTTCTGGCCTTCATGATGGTGATTCATGTTTTTCCTGTATTTTAATTTTAGCGCTGATGCCACTTCTGGGTCTATTCTGGGTCTAACTCGAATCTCACAGCTGATTTCTAGCTTTGTTTTTGTTACTTTTTATCAAACGAGAGACAATCACCTTTCAAAAGCGAGAGTTTAACGTGACTGATTTCACACAAAAAAAAAAAATTAATAATTGCCCAGTTTGGAAGTTTTTTTTTAGGTTAAAAGTACTGTATTTTCTGGACTATTAGACGCGCTCTTAAGCCTCTAACTCCCCATACATGAATCCACTCGGGTGTCACAGTACGACTTCAGTAAACTACAAAGCCGCACCACCCGCAAAACACGCAAACACACACGGAGCAGACAGCGACCGCACAGAGAAACACACCCACAGACACACTCATCACTCCACGCCGACGAGGAACGGAACGGAGGAACGAACCGGAAAAGCGAGCGCGACGTGCCGCTTCTAGACACGACTGAACAACTGAGTCACTGCGAACACGCCGACAATCCGTTGGTCCCAGACAGCACCTCCCTACACGCCACAACTGAACAAAGCCCAGAGTCACCGTGAACGAACAAACAAACAAAACCACTCACCCATCACACTGTTGTGTTTCATTTAAAGTCCAGTGCGGTTTATTTGTGAAAAAAGTTAGAAAATAGACCATTTAATGACAGTGCGTCTGATAATCCAGAGCGACTAATAGTGCAGGAAAATACGGTAGTACTTGGAATTGGTTGGAAAATCATGACATCACACTAGGGAATTCCATCAAAATATATACATATATATATATATATATGAAAAACTGTCCATCCATCCATTTTCTTCCGCTTATCCGGGGCTGGGTCTCGGGGGCAGCAGTCTAAACAGGGACTGCCAAACTTCCTTCACCCCAGACAATTCCTCCAGCTCCTCCATGGGGCCCCCAGGCGTTCCCAGGCCAGCCCAGAGACATAGTCCCTCCATCGTGTCCTGGGTCTTCCTCGGAGCCTCCTCCCAGTGAGAAATGCCCAGAGCACCTCCCAAGGGAGACGCCAAGGAGGCATCCAGAACAGATGCCCGAGCTTCAGCTGCTCCTCCACGTCGAGAGGAGCAGCGGCTCTACTCCGAGCTCCTCCCGTGTGACTGAGCTCCTCGCCGTATCTCTAAGGGAGACGCCCAGTCACCCTGCGGAGGAAACTCATTTCGACCACTTGTATCCACGAATCTTGTAAATGAAAAACTGTATCTTGTTTAAATAATCATTTAAAGAAAAAACAGCCGTTTTGACTGTGAGTGGGGTCGCCTTTCCACAGATCTGACCTGTAACTTGGTCTGGTTTTATCTCCATGAAGATACAAAGGCTTAATGCCATACTGTGAAACATTCCACACAAAGCAATAACATCTCCATTCAGAAAAGTTACACAAGTTAACTTTGAAATGTTCTTTCTCTAAAAAATGTGATTATAGTTTCATGGTTTTAATTGAGTTTCCTTATGTCTTTAAGTTTAAGTTTAAGTTCCGCAGTGAAGCTTTAAAGTTACAAGTTCTGACCAGTTTTTTTCTGTGTTTTTAGGTGGATGAGATTTACCACGACGAGTCTCTGGGAGCAAACATCAACATCGTGCTGGTGCGGATGATCATGGTGGGCTACAGACAGGTGAGAGCAAACAAGGACAATTTAAAGATACACTACGGAACTTTAATACTGGACAAAAGACCACATTTTTATAGAGCACTTTTCCACCTTCACCTTCTTTACATCAAGGAACCGCTCACACATTCACACACACATTCATTCACCAGTGTACCCAGGCGCGGGACCAGATTTGACCAGAGTTTTGCGTCTTGGGCAGTGTAAATATTCATGTGCACAGGATAGAAATTCATGCACATTTGTCTGTAGTTGAGCATAAAATAAATATTCGTAAACTCTCAAATGAGTCCAGTCGTACATAAAATGGGTTGTCTGTATTTTATCCATCAGAATACGAATAAAAAGTTACGACGTCAAGAATTAGAATCATGAAATTCCAATTACGCTTTCACAGATGCGACTTTACTGTCAAAACTTACAAAATCCAAATTTACAGAAATGTTGATTAATGTACACTGTCCCTGCTAAATAAACCAGATAAATAAAATAAATAAAAATACGTCATCACTTCACAGGCTTTATTTATTGAACAGAAGAAACATCGATCAAGATGCCGGACTTTTGCACCGCATACGGACTGATCCAGGACTGATCCAGGACTGATCCAGGACTGACCAGGACGACTGTATATATAATACGATGCGATTAACTTTTCAATTAATCAATTCATTCTGATGACATTATTCAATCAAAAGACTGATATACATAAAGTCATTTATTGTTTACAAATCTCTCCAAATTGACTGTTGACCCAAGTCTCCATGAATAAGAAACTGTTTGCTGTAAAGTAGCAAAGACGAGGAAATCTGAACATAATAACTTTTGTCGACTTAAAGACAATAAAAGTCCAGTCTTTCCTTAACCATATTAAAAATATTATTGATAGAGAAATGCTTATATATGAGATCATGGTTTTAGTTTGGTTTTAGTCTGGTTTAGTCCTGGACTGGATTAGTCTTTTAGTCTTGGTGTTAGTTCTGGTTTAGAGGCAAGGAGGAAGCGCGGTACGCCGCGTACGCGAGAAAACAACGCGGCTCACGGGAGCACGTTTCACTTACAGAAAGAAACGTGGTCCGCGCGTTCTCAGGTTAATGACTTGAAGGTGTGTGTTTGTTTGTGTGTGTGTGTGTTTGTGTGTGTGTGTGTTTGTGTTGTTTGTTTGTGTGCGTGTGTGTTTGTGTGTGTTTGTGTGTGTGTGTGTTTGTGTGTGTTTGTGTGTGTTTGTGTGTATTTGTGTTTGTGTGTGTGTGTGTGTGTGTTTTGTGTGTTTGTGTGTTTGTGTTTGTGTGTTTGTGTGTGTGTGTGTGTGTGTTTGTGTGTGTGTGTGTGTTTGTGTGTGTTTGTGTATAGGACAATAGTGCAGACATCATGAGTCTATGCAGGTTGTTTTCACCAGTGACATTTAAGTTGTAGGCGATTTTATATTTGTTATTTTCTTTTTATTTTCACGTCGGGAGAAAATTTCCAAGACACGAATTGTTTTTACGTGCACTGCTGCTCTGTTCTACTGGCTCTTCCACCTCGTCCATTGTGCGACTGACGCCGTAAACGTTAACATGACGTTTGTATCGCTGTTACTGCGCGCGTTTTGTTGTGGGTTTCCGGCATTGAGTGGAATTACCAAAATAAAAAATAATTAATGTGTTTTTTGTGTGTGTGTGTGTGTGTTGTTGTTGTCCCAACAACACATAAAACAGATTTTATAATAAAGCAACTCACATACAGAAACTGTAAAGTTAGAGATTAAAAATGAGATTAACGCGATTTAAAAACATAACGCGCTAAATATGACTGTAATTAATTAATCGCAATTAACGCGATAATTTGACACCCCTATATATAATACGAACTTTTCAATTCATATTCTGATGGATAAAATACACACAACACGTTTTATGTACGACTGGACTCATTTGAAAGTTTAAGAATATTTATTTTATGCTCAACTACAGACAAATATGCACAGATTTCACTTTCACTTTGTGGAAACCGTCTGACCTCGCAGCATTAGGATTCTTTCGCTTGACAGTAGGCAGGTACTTTTTTTTATTTAATCAATCACTGCTGTTTGGTCGTGACGTATGTAATGCGCCAGAACGCTCAGCGGTGTCCAAGTAATTGCCGGCTTCACAGCTCTTCCCTGATTGGCCGGTGCGCGGTCTACAACTTTCAGGGTTCTTGCAAATCGTCCAGTGTTTTCTGATTCCTGATCTAGTCGCTGGAGAGAAATGAAATTGAGCAGAGGCACTAGGTGATGCCAGCCTGATTGCATATTTCTATCCTGCGCACACAAATATTTCTGAAAACTTTCTTACTCTATAGCTCTGGGTCTACTGGATGGTTTCTAAAATTTCTAAAAAAAAACAACCCGATGGAAGTATGGACAAGGAAGACGTTTATTACAAACTGTGCAGAAAAGAGTTTGCAGATCACAGAAGCGCCTCAACCTGATACGGTAACATTTAAACGCAAAACATGTCACACTGAGCACAGAAACACGACGTTCAGAAGGAACAACTTAAAGTAAAATGGCACTTTAACTTTAGTCTCTTCAGTTTTGGACACAGACTTCACCTTTGTCTACTATTTTGAAACGAAATGCAGTTTATTTTTTTCAAGAACTTGAGTTTAAACGTCATGTCTGTGTGTATTATTTGATGAAGTCGTCCACTAAAATTCATTTACACAAAATAAATGTTGGCTTTTGGGGCAAATATTGTAACGCGATTAATTGAGATGAACTAATTACAAAGCCTGTAACTGATTAAATTATCCCACCCCTATTACAAAAATATGCTTTCTACTCTAAGCAGGTGAAAGTTACACAGTGCAGCTTTAAGATAAAACTCTTAAAAGTATAAATATGTACTCAAGTAGTAACATATGAGAATATCCTCTTGAGCCAGTCTGCCTCCTCCCATTGCTTTTACACAAGCTGTTATCATTTTATTTTTATCTTGTCAGCCATTAGTCATCTCCCGGAGCCAGGATTTAGACCCGTCCATTTGCTGCGCGCTCAGAACAGAACAGCGTGTATCCGGTCTCATTTATTCGTCACATCTGTTTTAATCGCCGCAGTCTTTGGTTCTGTTGTCATGCAGTAGTTACATGAGCAGCTGCTTGACCAGATAAAACACGTGGACCTGAGTCATTTTGTTTTGTTGTGACGTTGTGGTTACACGCTCCAAATCTGATTATGAAGAGATTTCTGGAGTCTGAAAACTCTTAAAATTCCGTGTAAACAGCAAAAAGGTCTGATTTCTTTCTGATCATAAACAAAGCTCAGATCAGTTACGATTTTGTGTTTTTCTCCTTAAAGGTTGTATGGAGGATTTTTTTTTCAGTTTTAAATTGTCAATGAAAGTTTAAAATACCATTACAGAGATGCAGCAGCCTTGTAATTATGATGACCAAAAAAAAAAAAGAATGAAAATCTATCAACTGTGGACGTAGTGAGGCCAGATAAACATCAGCCAATAGATAACAAGGCTACCTCATTTTCTATTGGCTGTTAGGTTGTCAATCAAACTCCCTACATTTCTCGTGTAACTGACTTGCCGGTGCGCGGGGATTACGTGGTTTTTGCGGTGGTTCTTAGAGGCTTTTTCAAACTGTAGCTTCCTCACAGTTCTCACAAAGTTTGTCGAGATGGAGGACGAGAATCCACGACCAGTTCGCCGCAAAAGAAAGTCAGTTTTTGAGGTCGCTGAAGGAAGAAGAGAAGAGGGAAAGGAGCAAAGCCAAACTGAGGTGATTCCTGGAGATCTCTTCCAGTGAATTAAGCAAACGAAGGGTCTAAAAACTGACGTGTCGGTCGCTAAATTATTTCTAGACAGGTCACTTCAACAGTAATTCTGAACGCGCACCGGCTGTAAACAAGTGTGATTTCTAGAGTAAGGAGGTGTTTCTACTGAGGGAGCTGTGGAGGAGGAAGGTGGTGTTTGAAAAAGGACTGTCGCTGTATTTCTTTTCCCTTAAAAAATCCTCTATACAACCTTTAAGGTGATTACTGTTTTACGATCTATGTTATAATGTTGTTTCTGCATCAAAAACAGACCTGGAGTTGTGTTTTGTTTCATTCACACATGTTTGCATAATCCTGGATCATTAGTCTGTCTGCATCTGTAAACCTCATAATGCTCTGTTTCACCTTGTGATGTCATGAAGCAGTAGTTTTCCAGTTAACAGATACCAGCTTTTCCCTTTAGTTCAGTAGATATTGTCAATTCCAGGGCTGAAATCCTGTCAGCCCTGGAATTGCCAAGTTAAAGCTCAGATTAAAGTCTAAAGATCCTTTCAGACTGGAGCATCAAGGCGTCCAGTTCACATGTAAAGTCTATGTGGACGTGCCTGGGTGTGCAGCGGCGTTCTGTGTTTTTGCAGAGCGTCTTCAGGCGTCAGCACGGCGCAAATCTGGCGTCGACGCGGAACGTCTTGAGCATTCAGACGCCAATGCTCTGGATGCGAGTCCCCGGCATCGGTGTCAGAAGTTGAAAATGCTGGCGTTGGATGCGCCGTGTCAACCAATCAGGGACGACTGTCTAGTGACGTAGCGACTTTATTATCTGGAAGATGGAGAAGAAAGAGAAAGACCCAGAAACCAGGACCTGGAGCCACAAACATTAGCACAGTTTAAATACAAATACGCCGCTACTGCTGAACCACTCGTCAGGACTTAACCAGGACTGGACCAGGACTTACACCGGGACTGGACCAGGACTACACCAGGACTGGACCAGGACTACACCGGGACTGGACCAGGACTACACCGGGACTACACCGGGACTGGACCAGGACTACACCGGGACTACACAGGGACTACACGGGACTACACCAGGACTACACCGGGACTGGACCAGGACTACACCGGGACTGGACCAGGACTACACTACCCAGGGACTGGACCAGGACTACACCGGGACTGGACCAGGACTACACCGGGACTGGACCAGGACTACACCAGGACTACACCGGGACTACACCGGGACTGGACCAGGACTACA